ATCTCCCATCACCTCCCATCTCCCATCACCTCCCATCACCTCCCATCACCTTCCATCTCCTCCCATCACCTCCCATCACCTCCCATCACTTCCCATCTCCTCCCATCTCCCATCATCTCCCATCTCCCCTCAGCCCATCACCTCCCATCACCTCCCATCATCTCCCATCTCCCATCATCTCCCCTCAGCCTGTCTCCCCCATAGCCGAGAGTTTCCTGTGGACTGTCAGGTTTTCGCGAGTCACCCGAGGTCCTGCTTAGCCCAACACAGGCTCCAGAGCCGCCACCTTAAATGCAAGGGAGGGGCAGGGCCACATCTCAGCCGTGTAGTCCTTCAAGACCTTTCAGAGCCAGCCTGGTGCAGCACCCACGGGAGGGACCAAAGACGACACAGGGGCCGACATGCATGCCAGGAGCCAGGAGGCGGCTGAGGCCTGTCCAGCTCCCGAAACAGCAGGACAGGGTGTGGGGCAGGGGGGCGGGCAGGTGACACCCCGGACAGGCGTAGCAGGAAGCAGATCCAGGTTCTATGGAAACCCTGCTCCTCAGCTGACCTCGCCCCCAAAAAATTTAACTTCTTTTTACATTCAATCTAAAAAGCAATGTTTCAGGTAGAGAAATTGAATTCGTGCTGTTAAAGTTGCACACAGATTCCATTAAAATGAACTGAATTGCCTTTCCAAAATTAGTTTCTTTTTCTCAATTCCCTACAAGCTTTTGCCTCTGTAAATGCAGCTTCGGAGACTGGGCGCAGAGCGAGACGTGGGCGGACGGTTTTGGGGAAGCTCTCCAGAGGCCGATGCCGAAGGAGGAGCAGATGCCGACAGAGACCGACCTGGACCCGGACGCACGTGGCAGGTGGCAGGCGAGGTGGCCAGACAGTGGCAGGGCAAAGCAAGGAGGCAGTCGTGCAGACTTCAGCTCCTGTTGGTCAACATGAAATCTTCAAAAGCCACCATCTGGGAACCACTATTCACAAACAACCCACACAGCGCTGGACACGCACTCTCGCCCTTGCCGCTTCCAGACGCAGCCCAGCAGCGCCTCCTCACACCCTCGGTGGCACACGGAGAGGTGCCCTGGGAGGCCACCTGCTAGGATCACCATCAGTACCCCTGGAAAGAAGCCAGGCAGGAAGCAAGCCCACTCCTTTCTGATGCCAGCGTGCACAGTTTAACATTCGGATTTTTAGGGGTCTGACAGTGGCCTGTGGTTCCTGTGCCCCTCCCCCCAAGCTCTGACAATAGACACATCCCTCCACTGAACTCTGAAGCAGCTCCACAAGCTAAAGCCATCAAGGCTCCATCGCTCGCTCCTACTACCTTCGCAAATGCTCTCATTCCTTCAATTGCAGCAGGAATTCAGTATTGTGCTTTGACCATCGTGGGCCCATCAGAGGCCCCTGCACAGGACCGGAGCCACAGATGCTGAACAAGCCACGGAACGCCTCAAAGGGCAACAGTCCAGAACCCCGAAGGCCCTTGGGAAAGGACGAGCACAGCACACTTTTCGCTAACCAGCTCCCTCTGGCATCAGGACAGGACTCATGGAGCAGGTTCTGCCCCACAGTGGGGGGAAGATGGCCACATTACACATTCTCCACCCCAAGCTCTGGAGATAATAAAAAATACAGCTTTCCAGCTGCACGGCCCGAGGACCTGCTGTGTGACCAGGGAGAGGCGTTCCTGGGGAAGGAAGTTGGGCCCCTCCATCTCGCCGGCAAGAAACTTAACATTTCATCTCTGCCGTGGCTTACAGCTGCCCGGGGCACCGCTGACGAGGTCGCTGGAAACAGCTCAAGGGACCAGGAAACATATTTTGACGTGGAACAGAACAGTGAGAAAAGGTGAGCTGCAAACCCCGGAAGCGAGTCTGGGACTTACTGGCCGAGCTTTGTTTGTGTTAACGCTCAGGAATGTTTTGGCCATCACACCTAACGGGGCTGCTGCAGCGCAGAGATAAAGCTAACGGGGTCACGTGGCGGTGCAATCCTTGCTGAAACTCCCAGGTACCCGTGCTTTCCAACCTCCGCACCAAATGCAGGCCGGAGATGGCAGGATGGGCTGCGGCCACAGAGCACAGCGCCTCCGAGGACATCTCGCCTCCCAGGAGACCGAGGAGGAACCGGGAGGGGCCTGCGTTCCAAACGCTGCCTGCCATTTTCACCGGGACAGTAAGACGGGGGCTGAGGGCTGAACGGTGTCCCCGCAAACTCTCATGATGGAGTCCTGCCCGCCGAGGCTGTGTGGAGAGAGTCCTTTACAGAGCAGTCGAGTCATGAAGAGTGGCCGACCCAGCAGGACCAGTGTCCTCACAAAAGCAGACATCTGGACACAGACACACACGGAGACAGCGAGGCGGGCATTTGCAGGGAGAAGCCACTGTCTCCGAGCCAGGGAGAGGGGCCTCCGAAAGATCAGCCCTGGGTCTCGGCTTCTGGTCTCAGGACCCTGAGAGAAAATCTGCTGCGAACACCATGCGTGGGCAGGACCGCGTCAGGGCGGCCCCAGGCTCCACCCAAAGGTGCGCAACTGCGCTAAGACCCGCCTTACACCGAGTCCCAGCTACCCCTCCACGACGTCCCTGCCCTTTTCTCGCAAGTTCCATCAAGCTCCGTGGTGCTGGATGAGCTTGTCGCTGTCCCCCAGCTCAGAGGCCGTGAGGTGCAATGCGTGTGGCTGCTGGAGAGTCCACGCCACGGCGCTTTTATTTTTACTTCAACAGAGTTACAGTGATAGACGCAAAAACAGGTCTTAAATTTTCCCAGGGCCTCCAACTGGATGGAATTTTTAAATTAAATCCAGGTCCTGACATAGGCTTGTTTTGATGAAAACCTAGGAATATGCCAGCCTTTCAAACCTTAGAGCATTCAAAGCAGAAGTCGGGATGGAAAGGTACATGCGCCCACTGCACGTAACGAAACCCCTGTGGTCATCCTTGCTCTTCCTGAAACCCCAGCTGACGGCAATTCTCAGTGCCATGCCAGTGGAAAGGCAGAGTCGGCCCTCACACTGTTTCCTTGCCACAAGCCTTCAGAGAGGGTTAGCTGGGTTCATTCCCAGCCTGGAGCCGCACTACCTGCTTGCTGCTCTGACTCTTCCGGGTGTGCTCCAGCTGGGCTAGAGCAGGGACCGTCCCTCCCGGAGCACCCTCAGGCCCGCCTTCCTCACCCTGCAGAACTGGGGGAGCACCCTCAGGCCCGCCTTCCTCACCCTGCAGAACTGGGGAGC